GTGTGTGTGTGTGTGTGTGGGGGGGGGGGGCACTGAGAGAGGTTGGTCAATGGTGTGGAGATGCCGGAGACCAGCCCCACCGATCGCATCATTGCAAAGCATTAACTCGCCTCATGCCGGCACCTGCCCTGCTCCCTGCAGTGTGGAAGCTCACATATAGGCCCAGTTCCCCAGAAACATGCCCTCAAAGGAAGCAAGATTCTGCATCCCCAGGCTGCAGGAAGCACGATAGCGGGATGCAAAGACTTAATCATAACCTGTTTCCCAATTAGGCTGCATACACCTCTGAGAAATACCCCTGTGAAACTGTAATGCTATAACTAAACCAGAAGCACAATAAGGGTCTTGGAGCCCTAGTTTTGCCTTAAGGGCAATTTAGACAGTCCAATTACTGGCCTGTTTCAAATGGAAATGGAAAGAGGACCTCATAGCTAATGGAAATGGAAAAAGGATACGTAGCTATATTGAGTGAGCCTTTATTCCAGACTGGGCAGCCACGCAGGCAAGAAGGACGGTTCCAGACAAGACGCCTTTGAGGAGGAATTTGCATTCATGTTATTAACTGGCTGGGCCCCAGGAGCGTCGGCTGTATGAAGAGCGCAATCCGTCTGCGGCATAGTGATGACCTCAGCACTTCGAGGAAGCAGCAGGAGGCGATGCCAAGGGCCGAGTGCATGATGGAAGCTCAACCTTTGTGCTGTGAGCCAGGTTAAGAGAATCGATGGGATCAATTAAAGGGAAGCGGGGAGAAACAAACGCACTAATGAATCTATTTGTAATCCTTGCTCAACGTCAGCGTCGTCAGAATGCTCCAGAGAGTCTACATCCCGGGGTCCCTGGGAATCCATGATGCCTGGCTCTACATGTTCAGCTTCTGAGAAAGGTAATCAGGCTGAGAGAGGGCATGTGGCGTAAGGCTGTGACATCATGCTCTCTTATTCCATCCATCTATCCATCCATCCATCCATCCAAACATTTGTCAGTCTTCAAACCACTTATTCTGGTCAGCCTCACAGGCATTTTAAATACATTTGGTATAAATCAAGGTGATTGTACACACTCATAATCTGATTGAGCATTGAGTATCATTCTTACAGTTATTTTGTTATGGTGATACTGCGACAATGTCCTCATAACCAGCCCCCTCCTCACCCCACACACTCATGAAATCAGGCAGTTTCCTGTTGTGCTTCTCTGCTTCCTATATCTGTCAGAAAGTCAACGCTGCATCGACCACCATTTTGCCCAACTACAATGTCAAACAGCACATCTCCACTCCTCTCCACAAGAAACAATATTATTTGAAACATGTAAATAAAGGGGAAATCTCTAGAATAGTTTTTGTAGAATCAGATGTTTTACATCTTGATGAGGTAAATGAAGAATGCGGTAGCTTTTCTGTCACATCCTGCATCACTGCCCCTCTTGTTTTCTCCCTGTTACTAATTTGTTTCACCTCTCATTTCAGCCCTCGTGTGACTCACTCCAGCTGCCTTTCACCTGCTCCCTCGTTAGCATAAGAGTGTCTCCCAGTCCTATGCTCCCCAGTCCGGTCATTGATGTTGCTACCTGCTAGTGTTCCTGCCAGTGCTCCTTCCTGTGTCCAGTGCTGTATCATCTTGCCCACTGCTTGTTTCCCTGTTTGACCCCTCATGGTTCTTTTGAGTTCACCCTGTTTATTAGTGATTCTTTTCAATAAAGCCCCTCTTTAGTTCCCTCAATCCTGCTTTTGCCTTCGTCCTTTCCCCTGTTGTAACATTTCCGCAAATTACAAATATCTGTAAAAATTATTTGACACAGGGAAAGTTGCAAATATACAAATACCAGTCATTTTCATAGCATATAACACAGTTCACATTGCTCATAATTTCAAACACACATTTGACTTTGACTTTATGTAATCCTTCATTAATAATGAACAGTCTAATGGAATGTAACATGAAAGTTGTCAATTCACTGTTTGTGTAGTCATCATTAAGTTTTTTTCCACTGTATTTGCGTTCTTAGAAAATTTTCTCTATCTGCTTATACTGAATAATGAATAATGTGAACAAGTCAAGGTTACTGTTATTACTGCTTGCATCAAAACATTATGAAGGTCATGAATTATTACAGCCATCAGCTGATTGTCAGCCACCAAAAATGTAAGAGTTTCATAGTCAAAGGCAGTATTGGTTTCCGTTCCTGTTTTGGGGAGAGCTGGATATGTGGAACTCTGCCGCTGGGGATGTCCATTTTTTGTCACATTCTTCACGTATCCGTCATTGTCACATGTGTAGGTTCATTCATCTCAGCCGGGACAATCCCTGTCATACTCGACATCGTGTCACTGGGCTACGTCAGTTTTACCGTCCCTCCATCTTCTAAATGCTTATCCTGAGCAGGGTCTTCTGGGAGACGATCATCAGCGGAATAGGGCCCGAGGCAGGGGTAACACCCTGGGTGAGATGCCAGTCAATTTTAACACATCAACTTAATGCTTTTCTTGTTGTCATCAACATTTTTTCCTGCTCCCCGGGGATGTGGGAATAGCAAATGTGTTTTACTGTGCAGATAAATCAACTGGGCTATTTTGGCAAATGTGACAGAGATTTAACTACACAGTCTGTTGGTGGGGGCTGGTCTGTGTCTGTCAACATTGAACTTGACACTTCAATAGGTGCCATCAGGTGCATCTCATCAACTAGGACTCTACGCTAGAACTAAGAACGTATGTGTCCAACAGTTAACAACGACCCACTCAACAATGCTCTGCAACAATGCCGCTGTTCCACTCTATTTCCAGATGGATAGGTTGACCTGTATTGAACTTACTGACTGGTCTTAATGACCTCATATTAAACTTATCTTAAAGTCTAATAAAATTGACTTAGCACATGAAAATTCAAACAGAATTTTACCCACTGCCACAATTTGGAAAGATTTAGGATAAACCTTTCAGCCGGTAAAAGCAATTCCTGGACTGTCAAGCTATATCAAGCTCTGTTCTGGGACCATTTAAATGTTTTAAATCACCAAAAGAAATGTATCTCAATATTTATTCATTTTTGGTTTCAAAGTAAATTTTAATGTAAACACACCATCCAGCTCATCTTTTCATTTTGGAAACCATGAGCCATAAGGAGAGGGTGTGAATCTTAAAGTGAGGGGTGATCCAGCTTTAAAAAGATGTACAAGTCAATCCTCATTTAAAAGATTATCCTAGCTACCACCTTGAGTTACCCACAGGCACAGACCAGCACTGACAGTCCTGACGGGACTTTTGGCCATTCATGAGACACTGTAGTACATTTCTGCAATTTATCCGGCTCCTTTTAATGTTTTTATCTGATGGGGGTGGGTAACAGGGGTTCATGAAACCTCGTAGCGCTGTGTGTAATCGAACTGGCAACTTCAAACCAATCCCCGGCGGCACCGTGACATCAGAGCGCCATAACAAAACTCGAGGGTCTCCCCCACCCGCCGCTTTATAAAATGCGTCGCATTCCGGCGCATCGGAACATGGGGACTGCGGGGCAGATGTGCGCATTAGGAAGCGCGTGGGTGCAAGCAGCACTGCGCAGCTCGATGCTTCCCACCCAGAACCAAAAGAGGCTGATGGGAACAGACACGGCGCTCCCACCATTCCCCTCTCCGAGGAAACGGGTGGCTTGCTCTGGGCAGTCCTTCACAAGTGCATTTCATGCTCCTTCTGTTTGCATATCTTTGCTGCTAATGATTCCTGAATGTGCATCACACAGCCAGCCCCACCGGCCCTCGTCTAATGATCCCTCCCCATAGGTCTTCCTGCAATGAATAGTAATTGTAATTAACACCGCAGAAGTGGGTTATCACCTTCCTGTTTGTAGGAAGGACCTGCGATAACTTTGATTTCAGGTCTTTTTGTTCCCCTGGGGACTTGCAGTTTGAAGTTGGTGCCCTGTAATTTACTGACCAGAAGAGCTTGTGGAGTTAGGGGCAATTTCGGTGCATCTGTCTTGAGGATCACCCTCAAGGTTTTGGAGTTTTAAAACTGGAAAAATGGGCCTAAGTTATAGCCACACAGCTGCAAAGTGACACAAATATATTGACAAAAAAGTTTGTCTCCTGAGAAACACATGATGACAACTGACAAACAGTTCATACAGCAAGGGACATTTTACTAGGAGGATTTCTCTGACTGTGGAAATGCTGCTGGATCAATGACACACACAGATACAGTGGTAAAACCAGTCAACTTCCAGTTTAATTAACCAATACAGTAAAATCCTGTTATAGTGGACTCGCTTATAATGGAATATCATCTATAACGGACAAGGTGCGCTGGTCCCAGCCGTGTGCCTTTAAGAACATGCAGAAAAATATATAGATATAGTGGACTCGCATATAACGGAATTTCTTTTTTTTTCCGCTTTATTTTTATTCTAAAGACAAATGCTATTATTTGTACAGAGACTGTATTTTTACATTTTAAACCCTCCCCAACCAACCCAGAACATACTGCCTAATATTAATAATTAGAATAAAACAAAGATGGATGTGCAATAGTTAAAAAAAAAAAAACTATTACAAAGGGAAAAAAATTAAATTAATTAAATAAATAAATACATTAACAGATAAATTGATCTGGATACCATAGTCAGGAATATTACAATGTCAAGGCAGTACCTTTATAGCAGTGAAATACAATAATAAGGGTTGCCAGACATAAAAGAATTTATGAGAACCTCTAATTGAATATTTAATCTTTTCTAGATGTAGGTATAACATCAGATCCCGAAGCCATTGTGATGCTTTAGGTGGATTTGTAGATTTCCAGTGTAATAAAATTTGTCTGCAAGCCAGTAAGGATGCAAAGGCAATGATATTTAGTTGTCTTTGAGTCAAATTGGATGCCTCATCCGGAACGCCAAATATTGCGGATTCTGCACATGGCTTCAGTGGTGCTTCACCCTTTGGAAAGTGTATCAAATATGGTTGACCAGTAAGCAGTGAGTGTAGGGTGTCCAAAACATGTGTCAGGTCTGCTTCACCTGTATGACACCTAATACAGGTCTTGTCAAAAGTAGGATCAAAGGAGGCAATCCGTGTTCTGCTTAAGTGCATACGGTGCAATACTTCAAACTGTATTAAACTCAATCGGGCACAAGTAGTACTACCATTCACTCTGTAGGGGGCATTCCTCCAAAATTCCTCTGAAAATTGCATTCTGAGCTCGCTCTCCCACCTGCTTCTAGTCGTGTCTGTTCTTGCACTTTTTAAAGATATTAGAATTGTATATATTCTTGAAACAAGACCTCGTTGATGGGAGGGCACTTCTAACAGAGAGTCCACAGGGGACTCTGAAGGGATGTTTGGGAATGATGAGCTTTGGGCATTAACAAAATGACGTATCTGAAAATAACGGAAAAGGTCAACTGAATTAAGAGTGAATTTGGAACGCAAATCATTAAAACTCGCAAAAACACCATCAATATAAAGATCACAGAACCGAGAAATGCCCTTATCTTGCCACTGTTTAAATTCAGAGTTTAGTTTTGCTGGGAGGAATGCATGACGGAATTTCGCTTATATCGGAAAAACATTTTGGTCCCCAGGGCCGCTTTTAGCTGTAGTTTTTTCGGCTATAATGGACATGCAGGCTCCGCCTACAAGGCACGTGGCGTGCCGGTGATATCCAGTGCAGATACGTAGTCGGGATTATTAATAGTCACGCATCTGGTCAAGTAAAGTTGAATTATTACATGTACAATATAATAATCTATACCACAAGTGTGTCTGCTGGGGTGTGGCATGAGTAAATGGTGTCCTGTAGTTGTGTTCTGGGCATACGTCAACTCATAACGGACTGTTTTGCCAGGTCCCTTGAAGTCCGTTATAATGGGATTTTACTGTAACATCTTCTTCTGTAGGCTTGCTTTGGTAACAAGAGAGGCAAGACTTCTAAAGTTATACTGTATTTTATACACTATCCAGACAATATTCCTGGTTAAATATTCCTGCATTTACTCTATTTCTCTACCAAGCAAGGAAATAAATTGTAGAATCCATTTCATATATATATAGAGGCAGGATTTTGAATCAGTGAAAATTAAAGAGGCTTTCTGTTTCCCGCTTTCAGTATAGTGAAGTGGCAACAGAAGGGCAAAGGCTTCAGCTGAAAAAAGCTTAACTTTCTCCTGGTATATGAATACCAATATGCACCTGTTTAAACACAACTGTTGCAGGGACACCATTGTCAATTCTTGAACTGTTCGTATGTAATTGGACATGAAGCAGAAACCTTTCCCTAACATCCAAAAATAGCTCACAATAAGTGTTCAGGTGAGTCTGGGAGTTTTTGTTCTTTGATAGGCTCAGGATGATGTTTGGTTTGTGTAGGTCCCAGGGAGGGATGTTGCAGATGTGTCTCTGTTGCAGGACGGCCAGGATTTTTCTATTAGGTCTTATCCTTATCCTGTACCAAAGGACAACTGAATTTGGGCCTGGGCTTGTGGAAATTTCAATATTTTGGGTGGAAAACTGCAGAGTAAGCCAGATTGCATCTCTTGGTCCATAGCTTAGCTGTATATTGCAGAGATGGTTTCAGGCGTGTGTTCTCAAGTGAGTGTTTGTTGGCTTCCACATATAGACTTTGAACAGGAAATGTGTGGAAAGCCCCCAGAACAAGATGTTTGCCTTAATGAGGAACAGTATCCAGTTACTATTTATTAGATTGCCTATGCTAGCTGTTAACAATACT